CCCCAAAACCCCAAAACCCCAAAACCCCAAAACCCCTTCTTGTGAACAAAAGTTGGATTATTTAATACTGCTCATTTTGGTAAAGTCTTTCTTTGAGAAATGGTGGGTTGTACTTTTGAGCATCTCGGAGATACTCTTGACTCCTACCATTTTCTTTCTGCTATGTTTGTTATTGGTGGTGGATACCTTTTGGTTGTGATGAAGGATTTCATTGAATTTTTACTGTTTGGATATATTTTGGTAACTTTATTGCTTTTGTTGACTTGATCAAGACCTAAGGAGTATGATCTCTTAAGCTCACCTCTTTTGCTACTATCTGGGCTGATTAAGTCATATTTCTTGATTTTTAGCTTTTTCTTGCCTTTACTAAAGCTCATAGATAGGTTAGAAAGCAGAGTTTTGGGCTTACCTGAGTTGGTTACTTCTGTCAGTTTTATTACCCTTGCCATGCTTGCTTGAGGCTTGTCTTTCTTTAGAGGAATAGTTAGATTTTTAGGGATACCTGAACGACTTGACTTAGAAGGAAGTTTAGCTTTCTTCTTGAACGTCTTAAGAAGGCTATTGACCGTTTCGAGGGTTTTGTAGCTGGTAGAGTAGATCAGGTTTGGTTTTGAGTGGGCAGGCATGCGGTTGGGGTCACGGAGATTGGACTTGTGTGGCTAGAAGGTGAGGAAGGGGGGTACGAGGTCGTAGCCGCTGAGTCTGGTGTACTTTTTGGTCTTTTTGGGCTTGGGGTCTTTGGAGGTGCTCCTGAAGGTGAGGGAGAGCTTACTTTTGGGGGTTATGACTGGTTGTGGAGATGTCGCTCATACGGAGGTCTATGAAGGTAGGGTTGGGATTATACATTTCGGGCTTGTATTGGTGATGGGAGTCTTGTTAAGCTTTTCTCGTGTGGATCTTGATCCTTCGATTAATCCTAGGAGTTAGATTTTTTGGAGTACTTTCTGCACGTTTGAGTTTATTTCTGATCATGGTCTACAGAATTAAAATTATATCACATCAATCATGAAGCTCTCAAAGCATTAGCACTTACCTTCAGATATTTCTTCTTGCTCTTAGAAGTCTTTCTTGGATTCCTATAACTCTTATAACTTGAAGGACTTTTAGAATTAGCTCTACTTGTCTTATTATATGATGTTCTATTACTCAAATTAGTTGATTTAATCCATACAAAATATTCCTCTACACCACGAATAAAACTGCTCTTTCATAAAAACACCTTAAATCTATTATCCCTTCTACTAAAAATGTAAACCTCCGATAACAATCCAACCGGCCCTAGCTCTTGCCAAAATTTCTTCTTCACCATTCCACTCTGGTCTTGCCCAAAACTAAAATCTGACAAATGGGCCGCTCCACCTTCTAAACTATCCACCCTATCTCTCACTCCCAAATCTCCAACCCTAAATCCCTGTGCCCATAACTCTTACCTAGTTTCCAGATTGCCGATCCCTGCTAGGCCTCCTTCATATCTGGCCTGGTCGTTCATCAGCTTTGCTCAGGAGGTGCCCTTCTTATTTTTGACGTTCAGAATTTTTGTAGGCTGTTTGGTTAAGTGGTTCTTAGAGGCTTTGGGTTTAGGTGGGTGGGAATCTATACGGAACTTTAGGTTGATATGTGTAGAGGAGGTAGGTTTTGAGGATGAAATATTCCTAAATTTCCTACCTTTTTGAGGAGAACAAGGAGTTTTTGTACTGAAGTGGTTCACGAATGACTTTTTGATACCTTCAAGATAGCTGCTGGGATGCCTGGAGGTTGTCGTAGGAAGAGGGTTGACTGAGCAAGGGGGTTTAGAGGGCTGAGTGGATGCTGGAGGGGGATTTTGGGGTGACTGGGATTGGGGGTCGGGTGGAATAGGGGCTCTTTTGGAGATTTGAGAGGTTTGGCTGGTGGAAGGGATTTTTGTGAAGAATTTATGGGATTTTGTGGTTTTTAGATTGTGGTGGCTGGGTTTGTAGTTTGGGTGGGATGAAGGGGTGGGAGAGATTGTGTTTAGGGTTCGTGGGATTGAAGGAGGGGCGGTGTCTTGTGGGGTATCCTTGAAATTGGTGAATTTGCATCGATTGTTAGGTAATTTCTCTTGTTTTGGATGGAGTGATTTCTCGTTAAAAGATTTGCTCTGAATAGTGTATTGAGGAAGATTAGTTCAAGAAGCATTTTTGGCAACAGAAACTCTGCTATTGATTTTGTCAATAGATGTATCCTTGTTGTTCGTTCTGGAGCTGAGACTTGAATAATTATCCCGACTTTTGGAGGAGTATTTTGTCCTATTCCTTTTGGTATCAAAATTCATAGCATTATATGTCAAATATTCATTCATTAACTTGTTATTCGAGGATTTTGGAATTGATGTACTTTGCTGTTGCCTATTTCGAATATTTGAGAGTATCCTTCCTGAATCATTCACAGACCCTGAAAATTTATCATGGATATTAAATTCTTGATGATTAGTATGTTTATAAAGCTTCTCATCTTCCTCTTCTTGGTGTTGATCCATTGCCATATCTATGAAAATAGTTGGGCTAATTACCGAGTAAAATTTTGTCGCTTTCATCACCTGATATAGAGTTTTCTCTAATCTCTATTCCAACAAGGGAGTTCTTTTACGATTTGATTTATTTCTATTTTTGTCTGGGTTGGCTGTAATACTTGTTCAAATCAACTTTAGATCTCTTAATCGGCTTAATGTCTTTAGTCTAAAAATGTATTTATAATAAGTCTATAACTGTTTTGAAGCACTACAAATATGTGCACAAATTTCTTCAGTAGTTCTAAATTGCAATCTTACACTGAGGGCGGGTTTGAACTCACTATCATGACTCCCTTCATCTTTTAAGAAATTATTATATCTTTTAATTATTGGCCTTCTGTCTCTTTTGGACGGCTCATCATATTCTCTGATATAGGCACTCTCTACATCATCAGCAGGTCATTTCAGATCTTCCATTCTGGGTTTCACGAATATTTTAAATTATAGATTCAGTTTTAAATTAAAAGCAAGGGGTTTTGGGGTTTTGGGGTTTTGGGG